TTGGGTCAAAGTTATTGAGTAGTGTGGTTGCTGAAACCGTGAGCAGAGGGACCACAGACGACGCATGAAGGTACGGCCTGGAGTGATGACACGGGCAGCAAACGAGAGCTTACCCAATAGGGACTCGAGTTGGCGTTGGGATATCTTCCGGCTGTTGATCGTGCTGGCCAATAGCGATCGGAGGTCGTTGAGCTTGTCCATGGGGAGCCTGGCCTCGAGCCGCTCGCAGTCCAGAATAATGCCGAGGAACGTCAGTGACCTCGCGGGACCTTCCACCTTTGCTGGCGCTAGCGGCACGCCCAAATAGATGAAGGCTCGCAGCAGGATTGCTAGTTGACGCTGGGCGACAGTATGGCCAGTTGTGACGTTTAGGAAGTCGTCCAAGTAGTGGAATAGGTCGGCAATGGAGAAATGGTTCCGGATAATCCACTCTATGGCCGAGGCAACGGAATCGAAAATGGCTGGGCTGGAGCGAAGCCCAAACGGTAGCACCCGCTCGTAATAGTAGTTGCCTTGCCAGAATATGCCGAGTAGTGAGTGATCTTCAGCACGAACTGGGATTTGCCGGAATGCACTTTTGATGTCCAGCTTTGCGAGGTACACCGGCTGAGGTGAGGACATAATAGACTCGATTGCATCGTCAAAACTGATGTAGTGCAGGGAAAACTGGTCAGCTGGAACTCCGTCGTTCACACTATTACCGGCGGGGCTAGAAAGATGGTGAATCATACGAAGCTTGCCGTTCTTCTTCGGTACCGCGCCGACACCAGAACAGCGCATGGAGGTGAACGGGGCTGCACTAAAAGGACCAGCAGTTTCGCCACGCTGGCAAGAAGCATAAAGCTGGTCAGAAATAAAGGAGGCACAAGCAGCAGAAGATGGCAGATTGGCAGACTGGACAGAAACGTCGCGTGAAGCAGTGAAACCTATGCTAAAGCCGTAGCGCAGCCCGTTTAGCACATAGGAAGCAAATTCTTTATCGGGGTGATGACGCAATAGAAGCTCAAAACGAGAGACATGCAAAGGGGTATGTACAGAGGAGTTATTAATGTGAGGGGGAACAAAATTATGTACACATGCAAGAGTTATTGGTTGCTCAGGCTGGGATTGCAATCCCGAACTACTGGGCTGGTCGCTGACCTTTGCTGGAACACTTGCTGCGGGGGTGGTCCTTGCCACAGCGGTTGCAGATGTGGGAGAACCAGCAATTTGACCAGCTACACTTGCCAAGGTTGAAGTTTCGGCAGATGACGGCACCTGCGTTGTTGCGGGTGAGCAGTGAGGATGATGATGTTTGAGCTTGGTGTGCATGTTTGGGACGAAAAGGACACATGTTGCTTGCAGCCGCGGGGTGGACAAGGCTGCACGACTGACATCTATGCCTGGCCTTGCCTGTGATGCACAGCTGCCATGTATTTATGTCAATCGTATCAAAGCGCTTGCCAGGTTGTGAAGCGACAAGCCTTCGAAATTGCTGGTCATACATAAGCCAAGCCTCTGCAAAATACTGCCTGTTGGCCGCCAAGATCATGCACTGGTATGACAGGAGTTCTGCTGTGCGGTGGGGTGCATTGCTGATCACAACATGCATATACAGAGACCATGCTTCTAACCAAGTGGCGATATCGTGCACACGTCTACGAACCGGGCGAGTGGTGTTCACCTCTACGACTTCCAGTGCACCCCCGGATGAACTGGATCTGAGCTCGAACGACTTATTGCTATCAACTGCCCCCAAGATCTCAGGCAACAATTGGTCGAAGTCCACAAACTCACCTCGCAATATCCTATCCTGCGCCGACTTTGGGACGTGCAGATTTCCAGCGTGAGGCGGTGTGGAGCACGCAGCACCCATGCCAATGTCGGATGACGCAGCTGGTGGTGCTGGTGCCGCACTTGGCTGCGACAGAAAAGAGGCTCCAATCTCGTCTGTGATGGCAGAACGAACTTCAGCCCGAATAAGTTCGCGAATACCAGTCGGATCCAAGGTGACTGGGGGATCGGCGAGCACCTCGCATGTATCCACAGTGGGTTCGGCAGAGTCGTTTGCTGAAGGTTGAGTTGGACCCAGGTTTTCTCTCTCCATGTCGTCCAGCAATCTCTGAACCAGAATGGATTTCTTTCCGGTGGTCAGCAGACCTCGATCGTCCAGCTCGGCTCGCAGTTCTGCCACCCGCATCCGATGCACAATAGACGACATTGTTTCAGGCACCAACAGTACGAGCTGAACACAATCGAAGAGTCTGGCTAATTAGTTACTCAAAGCTACCACAAGCTAGAAGCCAAACTGAAAATTTGGTGCTGGCACAAGCGAAAGTTTGATGCTGGCACAAGCTAAAAGTCACCACCAATTAGACTAGTCTTTGAAGTGAAGCCAACAGCAAGAAAGAAAGAGAAAGTTCAAAGGAAGCAGTTGTACGACGTCAGGCTAAGCGCGCCCGAATCCATGCGCTGGCAGTGTGATTGCAGTGAGCAAAAGTTCAAAGGAAGCAGTTGTGTGACGTCAAGCTAAGCGTGCCCAAATCTATGCGCTGGCAGTGTGAGTGCAGTGCGCAATGCACTGATGCAGCGCTGCGCGACAGATGCAAACATGGCAGTGTGATCGGTGGATGCTAACACACACTAACTACATTACTGCGACATTACTAAAAAAGGAAGTGGTGGTGAAGTAGATGCAGGGATTTTACCAAGAGTTATGTACTCTTGCTTTAACATGCTGACAGTCTGCACATACACTATCTAGAAGATGAATGCGGGCTAGAGATGCATTTTCTACTCCGCCGGCCGAGACACAGTTGAGCTGGTTTATACCACACTGGATTTCTCGCTACTGCAGGCTTCTGTATTCTTCTGTAACTTTTGTCTTCTGGTCACAGGCAATGAGGTTAGTGGACAGTAACTGGTGGAGTTAGTGTACAGTAACTGGTGGAGTTAGTGGACAGTAACTGGTGGAGTTAGTGAACAGTAACTGGTGGAGTTAGTGGACAGTATAGCGTAACTAACTTGTAGTTTCTTGCTCCTTTTTCTTTCCTTTAACCCTTTGAGGTGCCATTAATTCTGACTACGTTCTCCATCCGAGTGATAGAGGTATCTGCTGGATTACATTGTACTTCCAGTAAAATCTGCATTCCCAACCCAGTGTTTCTCCTAACCATACAACATCCTACCCGTACATGTTATGAGTACATGTATGCAAATCTAACACATATGAACACAAGCTTAAAGCATGCACTGCCCTGCGTCATCGGGGTCTCATTCTTCTTACAAGGTGTAATTATGTGCTGTGCACACGTCAGATCATCTGATAGGTATGCTATGCACTGTCTAGTCAATACCATGATAACCACACCATCAACCTCTCCATCACTCACTGCCCTAGTCACCAGCACTATGTAGTCATGGTTACCAGGCACAAGTGGCACGCCTCTACACTGGAGTCGCTTTTGTAGACATGTCGAAAGCCTTCGACAAAGTGCAGTATCAGACTCTAGTTAGTGACCTCTACGCTCTCGGCATAGGCGGCGTTGCTCTGCAGTGGATGGCCCACTACCTGACCGATCATCAACAGTACGTCCAGATTGGCCCAAGCAAAAGTGCTGCCTATGCAAGTAGCTGTGGTGTTCCGCAAGGATCAGTGCTGGGTCCATTGCTCTTCGTTGTGTATGTTCGAGATATACCTCATGTGGTGAGACCATACGGTGTTACCCCAACACAGTTTGCAGATGACATCTCATTACAAGCCACTGCCGAGACACCGACAATTGTTGCTCAGCGACTGTCCAGTGCAGTACAACACCTGTCTGACTGGCTGCGACAGCGTGGCTTAATTCTGAATGAAGCGAAAACACAAATCCTACCAATCCCTCCTCACAGAGCACCACCCTTTGCCCTACGCGTGACATGCAATAGTCAAGATCTGCCGGTGGTACCATCGGCCAAGTATCTAGGCTTACATTTTGACACGTCAATGTGCTGGCAGACAATGGTTCAACGTGTTGCTATCACGGTTTCTGCTAAAATAGCTGTTTTAATCCGCCATGCTGCATCTTTACCCCTCTCCTGTCGTATCTGCTACTTCAAATGCTTTGTGCTGCCTGAGTTTCTGTATGCATCCAATGCCTATGCCCATAATTATCTATCTGTTCACCAGGAGCTCCGTCTGTAGCTGTGCTGGAACTGGTCTATTTCGCCGCCACTATTTTACCATTAGCCATGTCTCCCCCCCCCCCTCCCCTCCTTCACCCTACACAGTGGATCCATTGTTATTAGACATCTGCCTGTTTTGCTTTCTCCACTATCAAGAATACTACTACTACTTACCAATACAATCAGTTGCTAAGCAACAGCTGGTCATTACGATCATCATCAACCATCACTCATGCTGCAGGTATTCAGGACAGTGTGTCCAAGACCAACAGCAAGCCTTCATGCTCATAATACCTGCATCTACAAACAGTCATGCTCTAAAACCAAAGGTCAGCATTCATGCACTGAAACTCCCCAGCCAACAATCATGCTCCCATTCTGCGCACCCAATATTCATACCAGCAAACTGTGAAGTCAACCGTAATTCTCCTACAAGTACATCTAGGTATTTACACACAGGCAGAAGTCTTGCACCAGAACTGCGCAGTCAACAATCAGGATCTCCTAGCACCACGCCCCCAGTCAACATAATTATTAGTGAAGTAGCTTATACATTGTATAAGCAGTCATCAGACAGCATGGTCTTAGACAACTGTGCATTATATAGTATGCTCGGATATACAGTCAACTTTGCGTATAACGACACTCGGCGGGGCATCAGAAAAGTGTCGTTATTTGCGAAGTGTCCTTATACCCGAAGTCTCATTATTATTATGTATTGCAGTTGATTTGGGCTTTGCCCTGGGCATGGAAATTCTGTCGTTATTCGCGAATTGTCGTTATATCCGCAGTCGTTATTAGCCAAGTAGACTGTATAGTCATCATTTCTGCTCCAATGCACACGCCACTGTATA